CTTACAGACAAATTTTCAAATCTGTTTATTAAAATTTGAAAAAAAAAATCAAAATTAAAGTTTGATAAATATTTTGTGAAAACTATCGTAAAGCATTCCTAAATAATTTTGATTTGCATTAAACATAAAAAAATCTGTTCTTCTATTGCTAAAATAACTACTGATAGTTGTATCACAGCGATTAGGAAGTGAGGGGTTTAACGCCACTTTTGACAAAATAAATGAAATGTTCTGCACAATGGGCCTCTGTTTTGTAATGTTTTTAAGCCATTATGGTATGAAAAGAAAAAGCAGAGAATTTCAAACCATTTGCGGAGAACGTTTTCAACAGACACGGACTGAAAATAAGTTTGACTCATTTTATGTGTCAATAAAAGTGTAAAAACCGTATTTATTTCAAGTAATTTGCCAAAGAAAACCCACCGTTTTAGGGATTACATGGTTAAGAAACGTGATAATGTTACAAATATCTTTAAAATTTCTTCTTCAGCCATATTTCAGTCTGTTTTCTCATCAGTATGCGCGAGCTCAGAGCGATGCGCGCTCCCGCGACAGGGATGCAATTTTGGGCAGGGATGCGTTTCTGGGCATAACACCTGCGTCCCTTTGCTGGAAGTCATGCCAAGTGACGGGGGGTGGCGGATAATCAGTGGCAAAGTAATTGTCTAAATGAATAAAAAAAAAGAGAAAGAAAACAAACAAAAACAAAACAATAGTTAGTTGTGTGTGCTCGTTTGTGCACGGACGGGGTTTAAAAATGGCCAATGCTGTTTAATCAATTTATTTAAAACCATATTGTTGCTTGGCCTAAAACAACCCTCCTTTATTTACAGAAATTGTGTAGTCGTAAATTCTCGGAATCACGCAAAGAGACCACTTCGACCAAAATGGTGAAGTTTGATCATTTTCAACATTTTCGGGGAAATCCAAATCAAGCAAACCCCAAAGTGGAGTACTAGACGTCCCAAATATTGCCTGTATAGAATTTAAAATGTATAAATTACAACTCCAGAAAATCACATTTTTTTCACGTTGCATTTTATAAAATTATGTACTTTATCAGAAATTGTTGTTTTCACACAGTATTTTAAATACTTGACGTAAAATATTGTAGTCATACGCCGGAATCAATATTTAAAATTCTATTCAGGCACTTTGGGCAGAATGTAATCTCTCCCAGGACCTTCTTAAAGCGGTGATTGTAGGAAAATTGTTGCTACGACTTAGAAAACAGAGAAAGAGCAGACAATAATTCGAGGTAGCACAGGCTCCGTGTAGCTTCATTTGTATTTTGAACCTGTGTTATTGTGTGAATTTGTCTCACTGTAGTGCATGTTTACTAAACCTACTACAACAACTCAACCGCTTTAAGAGTTTATACTCGCTGGGTGGGATTTGTCTCCCATTCCCCAGCTAGTTAAGTTAGCTGGCGAAAGGTGCTAATAGGCTAGCTGGCTAACTAACGTGAACTCTGCTACTCAAACGTTAGCAGAGAACATTTTATCCATCATTTAGACACAGTAAGTTGGTATATTATTTTATTGTATGTGTGTATATATGTACATCTATTCCCCCCCCCCCCAACTAACTGTACGTTTGTCGTTATCCAAAATTAATCTTTGTGATAATGATTGTTACAATGAATGTGTATACATACTTTTAAAATTTAAAGTAAATGAGAATGGCTTGTTTGAAGATGGTTTTGTGGACATTAAAATGGTTTTGTTCGGAGTTCAGACGCTACTTTTTTCTGTCGTCGCCTGCACTTGTAATTTATTCGACATGTGCCAATTGTCTGTTTCTGGCTGTAATCAATTAACTGTTTAATTGGCCAGCGGTAAGATTAGAACCGTCCTCATTGTTCGGCTAGTTTAACATGAAGATTAGTAATTTGTATGATAAAAACCTGCTGTTTTGTTGTATTTTAAATCCGTACTTTTATGCTAACATCCTAAACCTCTTTTTCATTTATGCTAACTATCAAATTGTCTTATTTTCCTTTTAGACAAGATTTGGGGAAATAACTAATTGTAAATATAAAACACAATATGAATTACTTGCCTTTAAACTAGCAGCGTCTTGGTCAGTGCTGGTTTCATCTGAAGTTAATTTATTTCTGAAAAGGGTTTACTAATGCTTACTTTAGGTTTTGTTGGTTTGTTTTTTTGCAGGAATAGTTTAGTGAGCAAGAAGATTTCATTCGTTCTGTGCTCAGTCATGGAAAAAGATGTTGGTGAACAGGAGAAGCACGGTGATGCTGCTGTGAACCAACCCAAGAAACAGCCATATAGATACACAAAGGTGATGTGAAAAATCTGCTGAAATTCAACAGGGAAACTATACACATTTCTTTGTTTTTAACGCATCGTAATCATTGTCATTTACAGGAAGAGCTTCTGGAGATAAAAGAACTGCCAATTTCCAATGAAAGGCCTGATTGTCTCTCAGAGAAATATGACAGGTAGGATCATTTTACTTTTCTTCTGTAGGTTAACACTGAAAGAAATAAGCAAAATATAATGCCAGTTGAACTGGCAACTTACAGATTTGGCATTGAAAGAACGCCAAGTAGTGATGGCCACATGAAGCCCCGTGAAACCTTGAAGCTTTCATTCCAATTGGTTAAAAAAAAAGCTTCATTTCTTGAAGCTTCATGTACTCACAATTCCCTCTGCTGGTCAAAACTTTTGCCATTTCATCTACTTGGCTGTCTTCAATAAAAATGAAATTACTTTGGTTTATTTTGTGTTTTATTCTTGTTATTTTGGATAAATTGGTGTTTTTAAAATAGTAATAAAAGTTTTTTTTTTTCCCTTTGGATTTTTTAAAAAAACACTTCTCATTTTTTTTAAATCAATGACGTGTTAAAAAAACACCATGGGGGATGCATTTTATTTGACTTAATCAGGCAAATCCCACTAAGATTGCAAGAGAGGCTTGGACCTGAAGGCAACATGGTTTTAGTCTGTGGGAGAAAATCCAAACATGCAAATGTCACACAAAGACCCGGGTCAGAAACTGGGATAGAAACCAGGACCTCCTTGCTGGGTGGTATCGGTTCTAACCACTGAGCTGTGCTGCCATTGCTTTGAAACGCAAGGGTCATGGTGACTATTCACAGTATATGGAAGAGAAGTATTTTGTTTCTTCTGTGTTTGGACACAGTTTCTCTCTTTAAAACCGTTATCCACATGTCTGTTAAACTCACAGCAGGAAAATGCTGGATTTTTTATTATTCATTGGAACATATTCTTCACTTTCAAATAGAAAAAACACTAAAACAACAACAGTAATATACAACTTATATCTGTAGAGCTCTTTATTATTGTGGTTCTAACCCCAAAAATTCCAATAAATAAATTGAGCCATAACAGAAAAGTTAGACCTTTTTAAAATGGCACTCTGCAAAATAAGTAGTAAGACATTTCATTACCTAATTGTTAAAAACTGAACATAATTCTGTGAAAAACGTTATTGGGAGAAATCAGTGTGATCACTCAGGTGAAATGCTGCTTCTTTTAGCAGGCATCATAAAAATACGCGTCTCTGTCAGAAAACAGTGAAACTCCAACACAAACACTTGCACAAAGGTTCTGAGGTGATCGAATTAGTTCATGAAACAAGCCAAAACCCGAATCCTTTCCAGAACCAGCGAGGCTTCAGATGTCACCGGTGACGTCACTCACCCTTAACAACACAAGCTTCATTAAAGACTTCCGGGTTTTCTCGACACACGCTCTAAATCTTCGGCACAGGAAGACCCGTCACTAACGTCAAGGGTTTTTTTTTTTTTTTTTTGGGAAGCCACATTAAAACATGGATCTAATAATTTGAATTCTGTCCTACAAAGCTTTTATTTTATTTATTTGACAAAACAAGACTTTTTCTTGTACTACCTTTAAATTTATTTGGGAGTTTTTACAAAGTTTAATTCACGTTATTTCTCCTAACACTCTGAGTGCCGTTATTTGGAGTTTGACCCAAATATATTAAAATTTTCAATATTCCAGAAGGTCATCTGCAGATTATCTTTGAAGGCTAGTAAACAAAGTACAGAAACAGTGACTCTTTTTTTTGTCCTCAAGTTAAGCGTAGATCTATTTACTTGCAGACAGCATATACAATGAGTTCATACTCATTTCAACTTGGCATGTTCAGGTTTTCAGAATAAATATCTGTAACACCAAATATAAATACTGGCCACCTTGCTCTTGTGAAAATCATCCTATGAGATATTTATTATATGGATTTGAAAGGGAATTGTTTTGTATTTGTCTGTTAAAATGTACTATACGGTGCAGTGGTGCTAGTTTTGGAGAGATGAATTACTAATGAGAGACAAACTTGTTAAGTGTATTTAATGTCTTGTCGTTGCTGCAGTGTCCTTTTTTTGTAATTTAATTTCTTAAACTGAACAGCCACTTGGAATGACTTTTTTTCCCTCTATAAGCAGTTGATTGATTTTAGTTGTGCAAATGTTGCATTTAACATTAACATGTCATTGACTGGTTTGTATAGGTGATTGAAATGGTTAAATGCCTGCATTGTAACACAAACATTTGAGGGTTTTTAAAGGTAATTAAATTCTGTAAAAAGGACTTGAAACTACCTACTACATTAGTTTTGCATTATGTGTAATAGTCACTTATTTTGATTCAAAGTACCAGCAAAGTACACAAAAACGTACACCTTGAAGGAATATGCAGTGATGAAGTGCTCAATCTTAAGTGTGTATCTGAATACAGAGATGAAGAAAAATGGGACAAGGATGGTGTTCAGTCTGGTCCTTCTTTTAACCCATTTCTGAAATAAGCTGTATTCTGTTCTGTATTGCAGTCAGCCCTGCTCATCTTTATATTCAGACCTCTCACTCATAACTAAAGCTCCCTCGTGTTGGTCCTTGTTCTGAATAAATAACACTAATGTACAATAAATTGAAAAAGTTGCAAATAACCTGCTGATTTTTGCAAAGTCTAGACTTTATCTGTTAAGTTAAAGATGTTGTTCATTCAAAACCAAATTTCAATCTTAAAGTTAAGACAACTCTGTATCAACCAGATGGTCTGTGTGGGTGTACTCTGCTACTGTTGCTGGATCTTTGTGATGAGCAGAGCTTTCAGTTTACAACTATGTGTCTGATTCATTGAGGGAGTGTGGCTTTGATGCTCRCATTAATTAAGAAGATATATAACTAGTTTTGATACAAAGTTTGACCACATGGATTGGTGTTTTTTTTCATCGCTATGTTTCTTTGTTTCTTCTGGGAGAAGAGTTCTGCCTGAACAAAAAAATGTTCACAGCATATATTCAGAAAATCTTCTGCTGCTCCCTTGTAATATTCTGATGATTTTGACTTTAAATGTTAATTCAGTTTTGAATGTTTTATAATTTCATCCTTTACTCAGTTGACTTAGTCTGTGACCTGCTACAATGTTTTAAGTTGGAACATGTTGGGTTTTTTCCCCCCAGTGATGGTGTGTGGGAYCCAGAGAAATGGCATGCTTCCCTGTACCCTACATCAGAACGAAGCTCTCCTGTAGAAGGTTTTAAGAAGGACCATGGGGATGACAAGGTTCCTTTAAAACGAAGAATCCCTGGTAAATGAATTTTAGCCAATTAAGTGATGTTAAACATTTTTTACRTTTGTTAGCTCTCTTTGTGCAGGAAATCCTCTAAAGTTATATTAGGAAAATCTTACTGTTTCTAATTTTGAATGTCYGTGTATATAAAACATCTAAAATAGTTTTATTTTTTAATGTAAAAATTGATTCAGATCCTCGTGAGCGATTAAAGGAAGATGACATAGATGTTGTACTGAGCCCACAGCGACGCAGCTTTGGAGGYGGCTGTCAGGGCAATGCAGCACCTGTGGCCCACTCCCGTCGACCAGTCAGTCCTCTGGAAAATAAGGAAAATGAGTCACTCCGTCTTGGAGGAGCTCGCAGAATTGGCAGTGGACGAATCRTAGCTTCTCGTGCCTTTGAGAGAGAAGCCCGTGTAGAGAAGGAAAGAGAACGGGAGAGAGACTTYAAAGATAAAAGATTCAGGGTTTGTTTTCTCCTTTCAGTCTAAACACAGCATTTCCAGTAGTTGTATGACTTAGCTATTTAATAGTTTATTTTTAATGTCATTATTTTAAATGAAAACTCCCATAAAAGATCTTGCATGATTTACAAAGTTTGATGTACTCATTTGTAGAGAGATTATGGTGACAAACGTGTGTTCAGTGAGAGAAGAAGAAACGACTCCTATGCAGAGGAGGAACCAGAGTGGTTCTCAGGGGGTCCCACCAGCCAGTCTGAGACAATTGAGCTCATTGGGTTTGACGACAAGATCTTGGAGGAAGATAAACGCAAATCTAAGCGATCAAGAAAGCGGACGGACTCCATTAAAGAAGGCATGTCAAAACAGTTTTTTAAATACATTTTGCTTCTAGCTAACTGTTTTTAAAAATGCTGCTTCTGTATTGTGCAGCAGTTGAATGCAATGGTGGACTAGTTGAGGAACAAGATGTGGGCTTACAGTCCACGGCTGATCAAGAGGTTCCCCATCCCGATGTGCTTCCAGACCAGTCAACTGGGGACTTTGACTTCAATGAGTTCTTCAATCTAGAGAAAACTATGCCAGGACTGGCTTCTGTAAGTACTTGGGTGCACAGCTTTCTCATTTTAAGGTATTAACATCACAATAATGGGTGCAATCTATAAATTCTGCCACCTTTTTTGTGCAGTTTTATCAGTTGAAGCTTTCTTATTTTGTTGCCAAGCCAGACTTGACTTCATCTGCTGCACTGGCTTGACCTCTTCAGATTTTGAACTTTAGTGGTGAACACTGTCACTAATGGTGCACTTGCWGTATTTTATTTTGTGGGCTCTTGCACGGTGTATTGAAAAGGTTGGTTTTGGCATCCAAAATTTATGCCCATCCCACTTGAGTTAGGCCACGGTACAGTCTGGAGAAACAAACGAACCAGACTCCAAACTAAAGCAGGTTTGTGGTGATTAATAAAATGCATTATCAAATGGCAGTGCATTCAAAGGCACTGCCTGCAATCTTCTGGCACATTTTGTGCTAAAATGCTGGGAAAATGCTCTAACCGTAAGTGCCAAATTTTGATCTTGCACTCCTTAGTATATAGTTGATTGTTTTACAGTGTCTCATGTGTTTTGTTTTTTTCTTTTTCCCAGATGATAGAGGATGTTTTGGGAGAGGGTCCGGTGTCAGCCAGCCGCTTCAGCCAGTTTTTTACCAGAAACATGAGCCCGTCAGGCAGCCAGTCTAGCAGTTTGAGGTCCACTCCTTATGAAGAGCTAGAAAAACTTGGAGGCAAGTGTTTTTTTTTTTTGTCCTCAATGTGGATTTTTAACAATAGTCATGTTGTAGCATGCAGACCCATAAACATATATATGTGTCAGAGTACCTTGTTAAATAGTGAGTTATTTTGTCTGTACCAATCTGCTGCTTTAAGTTCTGCTGAATGTAATATGAGGGCAGTTAGGTTTAAATGATGGGGGAACTGCAATGCTTTGAAGGTCTTGAGCCATGTTGCACTTCTTCCAGCCAAGCCTCTGCCTCATATTTCACACCTATTCAATCATCAGAGTGCAAGGARAAAGTGGACATCCTGGACCTGCTGCACAAGGCCAAAGTAGACCTGAAGCCCCTTYTGTCAACGCTTTCAGCCAACAAAGCCCGACTACAGGAAAGCAGTGAGTGCTAGTTCAGGAAAACTTTTCCAYACCTAACGCAAATGTAAACCTTTTTTTTCTGATCATGCAATTACTTTAAAACCTTTACAATTTTAAAATAAGCCTGTGCCGTTGCTTGAAGATCTGTGTGTAGAGATAAGTTTAAAGGCTTAAYAATGTGAAGTCTAATTCACAATTTGGTATCTAATTGTTGCACCAAGTTGAAAATGCAAGCATATGGCAATCTGTTTTATTAATTGTTAAAAACTTTGTCTTTTTTCGTTACGTTAGTAAAAGTTGTAATTTCAAAATTCACAAAGTCCATCAGTGCAAACAACATTTGTATTTGTGTTCCCAGCTAACTCGGGGGTGGTGCTCTCTCTRGAGGAAGTAGAGGGAGAGATGAAGGGAATGAAGCTGGGCTTGGAGCCACGTGTGCAGAAGGTGTCCCCTCCACAGAGGGGAGACGGCACACCCTTTATGGCTGAGCTTTTAGAGGAGGCTTTAACAGGCGGCTCCAGCAGCCGTCCACGCTCACGTGATACAGACATGTCAGCCTTTAATAAACTGGTCAGCAGCATGAAGGCAAGTGGAACTCTGCCAGCTCACCCCAAACTCAACACAAACAATGTAAGTGTTTCTCTCATTGTCTTTTCCTTTGGCTCCAGTATACACTGGATAACTAATACTACTCTGCATGCTGCAATGAAATGGATAAAATCTGGCGCTGTGATACTACATCCAAGCTTTTCTATTAAAATTGAACATCTCTTGAAAACTGAAATAAGATGGTGGGCATAAATTTGCAAAACTGTTCTTGGGGTCACATAATGGGTGTATTTTTGGACACATTTACTGTTTGAAAACCATCTTTCATGCAAGTCAGCTAAAAAATGGATAAATACAGAAATGAGAACGAAACGACTACTGGATTATTAGGAATTATGTTGTCATAATTGAATAAGATTGCTAGCTTGCATGAAGGAAGTTGGACTTGGATTCACATGTATGTCTCAGTAGGCCTGACTTGTTTTATGGTTTGGGAGTTTAAACTGATTTTTATTTCTAGCATGCCAAAATTGTATATCTTTTATCAAATACTTGGATCTCCCAATACTTATACACAGCAAAAAGGCTTACTGAGATGAAATTTGAAGATGTGTTAACTTAAAGCTGAACTGAACCTACATTTTCCCCACCCTCTGTAAAATGTAGCAACCTTCAGATCAAAGTGGTGTCACAYGGCCTGATGCAGCTCCTCAGCAGCAGAAAAACATATTCCAGGTGTGTATGTTGACTCATGTTTCAATCTCTTATTATAAGGGCTGCATACAAATTGTGTTCAAACTCTGTTTTTGGACAAACGTTCTTAAACAGCAGATGGGAGTGTAAACTGAATATGACAGGGAAACTGTGTGCTGTGAGGTTTCAGCAACAAATACTCATTAACTTGAAGTTTATTGCTTCTATTCTAGGCTAGGAATGTCTAATATTTTTTTGTTTTTGTCAAAATGTAGAAAAAGTTGATTTTTTTTTCAATAAGATGAAAGTAAAAAATACATTTAATTACATTATTAAAACTTTGTTTTAATGTGTTTTCTTTCTTAAATTTAACTTACATTTTGTAAAGTGAAAAGTGAATTTTTCAAAAACTTGTTTGTTTTTCTAGGAGCTATTAAGAGGTGGTCGAGGCTCCCCAACACCTTTAGTGGGTTTGTTGGGCTGCTCTGAGCCTCCAGTGGCTGCTGCTCCTCTACATGGTTTACTACACAAGGGCCCCTCACCCCCTCTCTTCCCGCCAAGGGCCCCATCACCTGACTACTTTAAAAGCAGGTTGCCACCTTCTGCAGGTAATGTCAAAATGTATCAACCATGATTAAAATATGTGTGTTACAGAAACTTTTTTTCAGATTTTAAGTTTTTGTAGAACAGCCATTTATGAATTGTGTAGTTTTGCTTGATTAGATTATAAGCTGAATTGTTGGTTCTTCTGTTTGCTTCCTGAAGGATTTACTGTTGGTCCTCAGCCCATCCTGTCAGAACAGTTTGCAGATGTACACAGATCAATAAGTCCTGCGCAACAACAGGTAACTGTGTTGAACAACAGGGTGAAATATCACACACTAACGAAGCAGAAAATGTCAAAAGGAGTGCTCCTGTCCAGGTGTTCAAAAATTACAGACTATATTCAGGGTTCCTGCAGATCCTTAAAAAGTCTTAAAAGGCATTGAATTCATCAATCTAAAAATAAGGCCTTAATTAGCCTTAAAATGTCTTAAATCAGTCTTTCAGAAGTCTTAAAAAAGTTAGCACATTATAAATAGGATGATTGTAATTCATCTCAAATATTAAAATAATTGGTAAAAATTATTTTTTTTAATCTTCACATGCAGACATTCCCCTTTGACATCACTTCCTGTTACTTCACTTGCAAAAATCTCAACTGTCCATCTGAGCAATGTGAAATTTGTTTTCTAATATAATGTTTTTTCCAAAAATACATTCACTTTTCTTACAAAAAATTGATATCACGGGCACTTTGTTTCATCTACAGCAAGCTGGGGTTAAGACCCCACTGTGGGTCCTAAAACTCCAAATTTTGGKTCGTTAAAAGATTTCCTGAAATGAAATCAAGTTTAAAACTGACTGCTAAGAATGTTTCTGCTAWAGTTAGATATGGATAAAAACAATTGGTCTATTAGCAATATTTGAATACTTCAACCAAAAATACTTTGATTTACGAGTTTCTGCCAGTTTGTACTTTTTTGTCATTTGTGTTTATTGTGAAATTGGTCTTTAATTTAATTTCACTTGGCATTAAAAAGGTCTTAAAAGGTCTTAAATTTAACTTGCCTTAAACTGTAGGAACCCTGATATTGAGAAGGGTTCAAAACTCTTGGAACTCCTATATTTGAGAAATTTGATCACACTTTTTTTAATTTATTTTGGAAAATGTTCAATATTCAAGCCACAAAACTGTGTCTCTAACTCATATTAGGATATTGAAAATCCTCAAACATTTCAAGACCTTTTGGAAACCCACTTGTAACTGCGTTTTGCCAGAAGTCGCAGCCCACTCAGATTACCTGAAGTCTTTTTTTCTTTTAATGGAAAATGTAATTTTTGTTATGTATTCATCCAGATGAGGGTGCTCTCTATACCTGTGAATCATTCTGAACTGGAAGCCCTAGCACTTCAGCAGGACCTTGCTCTACATGCCCACCCCTCATTTCAGTCAGGCTACAACAAACACCCACAGGACAGGTCTTTTCGAAACAGGCAAGTATTTATTTTTGTTTAGTTTCGGTTGCATCTACCCATTGTCTAGATACTCCTTTTTTAAAAACTGCAATTACAGTGAAATTGGTTAAACACTAAAGCTACAGTTTGTTTATTTTACCGTAGCAAAAATGTGTTTGGTATTTAAGATATAGTGTGTGTTGCTCAATAGGATGAGATAATTCAGTGTACTTTTAGCACACTCTTTTGTGTGTGTGTGATCAATAGACCCCAGCGTGTTAATCGGTCCCCTGGACCTCAGTCTGCTGGAAGAAACTCTCCAGGAAATGCAGTCACCAGCATGGTGAGCAAAACTCCTCTTATCCAGACTATTCAGCCCCTCCTTGAGTGGAGTCATCCTGCAGGGACAAAACCTTGTCTGTCGACCATCGTAATAATACTGATGTTTTATTTTGTCTAATTACAGTTGTCCCCGTCATTCACTCCTACATCTGTGATTCGCAAAATGTACGCAACAAAAGAGAAAAACAAAGATGAACCGTTAGGTCGTTCAGAGACCAAGGAGGAGGCGGCGGCAAACTCTCAAGATGGTAACCTATTATTTACTCACAATATATTGACCACAGATTGTGTAAACGATGCCCTTTAATGTGAAGTGTTTGTTTTGTGTGCTTTATAGGCAGCAGCTCTCCAAATCTGTTCATGGAATTAATGGATGGAAATGTTGCACAGTCAGGAGTAAAGGCCAGCTCTCAAACCCTGCAAAGCAAAGACCAAGAGCGTCTGAGACCCAGCAATACTGCAAACCAAATGCCCAATATGGTACCTCCTGGACAGTCTTCATCTTTCCCTCATCCCATCTATCCAGTACCACTTCTGTCTCATGTCCCAATGGTGCGCCCACCCCCTCAGCTCCATCCTAATGTTGTTCAGCGAATGCTGGCACAAGGGATCCAGCCCCAGCAGCTTGGACCTGCTCTTATGCAAGCAGGTTAGTAGATGTTGATTACTGGTGATTTTCATCTTCTGTTGAAACTTTTCTAAAATGCTTTCAAAGTATGTTGTGACCATGTTTAATCCCCTGAACTGGATGTTTCTGATGGACTGTTAATTGTACTCACAAGGTGTTTTTCCACCACATGTTGACCTTGCACAACTTCAAGGCTTGCCTCCTGCACTGCTAGGACAGCCTATATACCCGCTGAGTGCAACAGGGCATCCACTTCTACCTCCCAGAGCCAATACTCCGATGCAGATAGCAGTTATGCAGCAGCAGCTTCAGCAGCAAAGACCAAGTAAGCCATTTATCGTAGCTCATGACCATGTGGTGGTCTTCATTGATAGTTTGTGCAATTTACTGAAAGTGTTTAAACTACAGTGTAGTGTTTACCTTTTCACAAACTGAGCCTCTGAATCAGATTTTTTGTTTTTCTTGTAGTACATCCCAGCACACCAGGCACTCGGTCACAGATTCAAGGCCCCCATCGGACAAATGGCACCCAGCGTCATGGAGGAAGCCCACCTCCAGGCCTCGCCAAGTGGTTTGGATCGGATGTGCTTGAACAGCCACTGCCCTCTATGCCAGCCAAAGTCATCAGTGTAGATGAGTTGGAGTTTAGGCCATAAGTAAAATGCTTTGCTGGAATTTTTCTTTTCCTCCTCCTCTGCACATCTCCTCCTCCTGGTTACAGTAAAATGTGAACTTTAATTTGAAAGACAAGTGTGTCATGGGACACTCTAACCATGCCATGCTTTGTTTTCAAGAAGCAAGTGATGGAGATTTATTTTGCTAGCTGAGTGTTTTTGTTTTTGTAATAGACAGTAAATAATGTAAAGGATTAATTGTACAGACCATTGGGAAAGAATCTTATTCTCTGTATATAGCAATGTTTTCTTTGTTTTTGTTTTGTTTTTTTCTTCCTCCCTTCACCTTCATCTTATTGTGGGAAGCTGAAGCAGGAGGAAAAGAGGTAAAAGTCACTAAGAGCTGATAGCATTCCTTAATTGCCTCCCTGACGAGAAGAATCAGAAGAAAGCCACTGTAAATGGTAGGGTAGGTTGAGTTAGTTCAGTGTACACTCCACCTTTTTGGTTTGTGGCTTTTCTTCAAGGTTGAGAAGTCACAGGACACCACTGGAGGATGCAGCAAGCTGGTTGTGCCTTTTTTGTTGTTCCTCAACTGTATCCTCTCCAGTTCTGTATCATTAGAGGGATTGCACTGTTCACTGTCATTTGAGGGTGCTTGGGATTCATTTGATGTGCTATTAAGTTATAAGAAGCACAAATGGAATTAATAAATAAAACATTGAGAATAACACTTTGTTTTTAAACTTTTATTTTTTTACTGGCTGTAACATTGGTGTCAAACCAAAATGTGTCTGACTTGCAACAACTCATTATTTTGGTAAGTCTGGCATTCTTTAAAGGAACAATTACATCATGGAGAATTTAAATTGTGGATTTATTCAAAGTGGAATGCAAATCTGAAATTTGTAGTTTGATAAAACGAGTAAACTTTAAAAGGGCTGACTATTTTGACTGGAAGCCAGTCAATTAAATATATCGTAAGAATGGAGTTCTTGGATTCCAAACTTGTTTTAAGAGCTAACAGTAAAGTCATTCTTTGTGCAAGACATTTGGGAATGAATACTCTGTAATCTTGAGCAAACTGCAAATGTCAGAGAAAACAACAAAAAAGTTAGTACTTGTGTAGTGGACGTATATGAAACTAGCCATATAAGGAGCAAAGTAAATGGAAAAAATTAAATGCAGCTTGAAACTAAAGATATTCAATGCAAAAAAAAACTGCAATATTTTTGTCCTTTTAAAAAGCTTGCCAACAACCACTTGTGTTAAAAGACTGAAGTGATTATTTTTTTTATTTCATACTTTGAAATGAATAACTTTAATGCGAGAAGAATGAAAATGTTAGAAGCAAATAAGCTGTTCATACCTCTACAAATTATGATCTTTATTTGTGGTTAGATTAAATTCCAGCAAGCTTTTTTTTTTTTTTTTTTAGATTTGCCATATCTCACCTTAAATGACCTGCAGTGTGGTGTTTCACGTGTATTTTTTGATCGATTAGATTAGAGAGTGCGCCTGAAGAGAAAAGGTTTTTTTTTTTTTTTTTTCAGTTTGATTGGGGGAGGGGTTTCAACACAAGCAGGAAGAGAGAGACCTGCGTGTTGTGTTCACGTTCAGCCACAATAACACGAAATTCCTCCGTTGTGGCCGTGCTGCTCTCCCAAGAGGCCGCCTTTAGGGCCATTTAATATTAAAACAAGCAGTTCATTTACTGTCAAATTACAGAGGAGCCGTTTTCAACGAAACAACAACGACCCCCACCCTTCAAGAAAGCAGGGTTAAAGTTCACAGGAAGCTGGGGGGCTGCCATTTTTTCCCCCTGCTGCTGCTAGCGTTTAACGGTACATGCTACAATCGACGGGAGGGGCGGCTGGTTTGTGGCGTCTTTGAGCTGCGCACAATCTGTCATTTCTCCGACGTCGTCGCCAACAACCATTGTTATTTGATGAATTCGGTATGGAGAAGGTAGCGGAGCCGTCTTGGACTTCTTCCTACACATACCAGGTGAGCAAGCACAGCGCGGAGATGCTACACAACCTCAACATTCAGAGGAAAGATGGAGGCAGGTTCTGCGACGTGATCCTGCGCGTCGGCGAGGAGAGCTTCCCCGCTCACAAAGCGGTGCTAGCCGCGTGCAGCGAGTACTTCGAGTCGGTGTTCAGCCGTCCGGCGGAGGGCGACGGCGACGCCAGGGAGCTGGAGATGCACACGATCAGCCCGAAAGTTTTTAAAGACATCTTGGACTTTGCCTACACGTCCAGGATCGTGGTTCGACTGGAGTGTTTCCCGGAGTTAATGACAGCTGCCAAGTTTCTGCTGATGCGGTCAGTCATCGAGATATGTCAGGAGGTTATCAAACAATCCAATGTACAAATCCTGGTTCCGACTGCCCGTGGAGGAGACGCCAGCCTCTTTCAGGCCGCGGCGGCTACGGAGCTGGGCTTCCCGGTGGCTCAGCAGGATTTATTAAACGGAACGGGTGTACTACTGAACGGCCAAAGCTTTGCTAGCAGTACGCAGATGCATATGGACGGTGGTGTGGACACGGCCGCCGTGTTGTTGGAGGACGGCGGCGAGTCTTCGGTGCCCATATTGGAGCCCGTGGAAGGACTGTCCGTCTCCCCGCCCACGGAAATAACGGGGAACACGTTCAATCATCATGACGCCGGATCCCCTGGATCGAAAAGGGGCAGGGGGAGACCAAAGAAGGCCGGGGGGATCGTGGAGGCTGTCCACTTCAACCACGGCACCCAGAAAGACAATGGCCTGTTCCCTTGCGGGTCCTGCGGGAAAGCCTTCACGGAGGCTTCGCGCCTGAAGAACCACGAAGCGCAGCACGGAGCCTCCTCCGGGGGCGTCAGCAGCCTCGGCGGCGGCCTGTCTTTACTGGCGCAGTCCGGTCTCCTGGAGAACGGCATCCAGTTGCCCGGCGGGCTGACGCTCGTCGACAACAGCCGCAAACGGGAGCGGACCAGGCGGCACGTGGGCTGTGACATTTGCGGGAAAGTTTTCCGTGACGTGTACCACCTGAACCGACACAAGCTGTCCCACTCCGGGGAGAAACCGTACGCGTGTCCCGTGTGCGGGCTGCGGTTCAAGCGGAAGGACAGGATGTCTTACCATGTCCGGTCCCACGATGGATCAGTCGGCAAACCTTATGTGTGTCAAAGCTGTGGGAAAGGCTTCTCCAGGTGAGTTCAACCTAAACAGCTGCTGTTGTGTTTGTGGATCTAAAGAACGTGCTTGTAGGGTTTAAAATGTTCTTATTACTGACTGTTAAACTAAACATGGAGTTTCTAAAGTAGTTTTCCTGAAATGCAGGTATTCACTCAATGTAAACAAAACTCTAGGCTGAAAACCACGTGGCAGCTCGAGTCACGTGATTGACCTACATTAGACTGGCTGTAGGTTTTAAAAGCTGATTTTATACGGTCATGGTGTTGTGAGCATTGAAATGACAAAAGAGAAGAAGAGGTGCAAGAAAAATGTTACAAGTGTCACCAGCCATGTTGTAATATTCAACAATGTGTGTTGGATGCTTTGCTCACATGATGCAGTGTCACTTTCAAACAAATGTTGGGCTATAAAAACTAGCACATTTGGAAAGCATTGAGTTTTAGTGTTTCCTTATGGCAGGTTGGACCCAAAATTGAGAATTTTGTTCTTCTGTAAAGTGACACACAGATATAATTTACCATTCAGTGTAGACATTTGTAGAGAATTACTTCAGCACTTACCACAAAATACACATGAAATTGCTCAAGAATAATCAAATGGACGTTTTGGATCAGCACACGTTGTTGTTGTATAAGAAAACAAATACAAAAGTAATAGAAATCTAAATTTTTTTTTGTCTTTGCAGACCAGACCACCTGAACGGACACATAAAACAAGTACACACAACAGAAAGACCCCACAAGTGCCAGGTAACCCTGTTTGGTCCGGCACTTTATCTTGATGTGTAAAAACACTTGTGGTGATAGTTTTAACAGCGACATGGTAGAAAAGTGTTTCCTGCCTGGTTTGTCTGTGTTTCAGATTTGTAACGCCTCCTTCGCTACAAGAGACCGCCTCCGGTCCCACCTCGCGTGTCACGAGGACAAGATTCCCTGCAAAGTTTGTGGCAAGTTCCTGCGAGCGGCCTACATGACGGACCACCTAAAGAAACACAGCGAAGGAACGCACAACTACTGCGGCATTTGCAATAAAGGTAATTCTTATAGCCAAGCATTTCCGAATTGAATAATTTCTGCATCGTTTGTTATGAAGGATAGTGGGCAAACGTTTGGCATTATTCTGTTTAGTATTTAGCTCCTGATCTGTGAACTCGGGGGGGGAAAAAATGTTGTAGAGTTTTGTCTGGGGTTATAATACATTATATGACCTGTCATATCAAACTGAAGAGAAGTCAAATTCGGCCATACTACACTAAATTTGCTACTAGTTGCATAGAAATCGACCTGATTCAAAAACTTTGCCCAGCACTTAAGTAGAGTGTGGGACTTCCATAAATTATGTTGACTTTTTAAGCTGCATTTGAACACAGTTGTCTGTATTAAGAGCTCAAATATGTTGATATGCTTGTTCCAGAAATAACGTCTGTGCTGCGTCTCCACATCAGCATTGCTAAAGTTAATCAGATAGAAACCTATACAAATACATCCTCAAAATCTGCTGTTACATACGTTTTTAAGATGCCCGCTAAAAACAACTTCATCTTGTACTGAAACACTTTGTTGAAGGTGATTTTGTGGGGGGGAATCTACCTTTATTTTGTTTTTTAGTGCCAATTCTTTCTAATTAAAATCTGTTGTCTGTAATATTTGTTGGAGACCTCAGGGAATGAGGGAGCTGAGATTGTCAGTCAGTTGTTTCTCAAATACAGTTGACTTTGTTGATTACATTAAAATTAGATGCATTTACTGTTTTTTGCAAATTGTTGCAATTTTTGTTTTTTTACAGTTGAGTGCACAACCGAATTTTAGCACAACGTAGCATAACTACAAGAGGTCCAGGTGATGCTGGTGAATGATAAGGCATTGGAAGAAAAATGCAGATTTTACAAAGGAAATGAAAATGACATCAAACATATTAGGCCAAGTTTTCCTTGAAGAAATCCATATCGCTCGTCTGCTGCGTTTCGTAACAGAGTTTTGTCTTGGGTTGAGAAATGACAGATTTGTAGCTGTTTTTGGTCAAATCTTTTGAAGCCATCTTGAACAAATGTCAATCAGTTGTAGATTTACAATAATTAAGTTTCATTTATATCTGTTGGATCACAAAACACTTTACTAACAGATGGGCTGAGCTGACTACAAATAGTTAATGCTAAAATATTAAACACAGGTTTTGTGCAGTCTAAGTGCTCAGAGTATGTGTCTGAGGTTGGTCTCCACTGCTAACTGTCACATCAAATTCTTTGTATCTTTAAAGTTAACTGATTTATAGCCATTTTGTGTTTGATTTTTTTTGAGTCAGTTGGCTGTGGTGGCCATCTTAAAGCTAATTGATATTCAGTGATAACTTTATGCAAGTTCCAGTAAAATTTGTCTTCTGGTTCATGAAATATTTTGCTAAACAGACACACAAAAAACAATATCATTCATCTAGGGTTGGGCATAATCGTATCATGTGTGATTAATCGTCAGAAAAACATTAATCGATTATTTTTTGACACTTGACGATTAATAAGATTAATGCCACCCGGCGGACGTTTCTCCAGTCAGTCTGCTTGATGCTCCTCTCCGCTTCAAATATGACGAACATTAAAAAAAAGTAAATTCTGTAATTTATTTATCTATCAACACAATTTAAAATTTGATGTGTAGCCTGAAGTCTGTAATTTTGACACAATTTGGAACAGATTTTTACGAAGAGCAAATCTTTCCCACTAAATTGGTCATGTGACCAGGACAYGAGGGTGTCCATGGACTCCAGGGGATTAATCGTCAAATTAATCGTTATCGGCTAAATACCACAATTAATCGTGATTAATTTTTTTTGCCAATAATGGCCAACCCTACATTCATCTAACGAAACAAACTTTAAGCAAAAGTACCGAAACAAAACAAAACCCAAAGGGATGGGCTGTCAGCAGAGCCAAAATGAAAGGATGTGAGTCGACTCCTCTCATCAGCTGACTGCTAATTAATCTTTGCTCCATTAGGGAGCTCTCCTGTCCTCTTTATCTTTCAGCCGGCCCATAAAACTCAGAAAGTGCTCGTAGCCTTACAGCCTAGCTTTTCTCCCAGGGAGTAATACGTTGTTTTGTTCTGTCAGTTGACTTTTATTTGCACAAGGAAATACAGTTTAGGATTTACTCTTCTGTCGGGGCTTCATGGGGAGGATAGATCTACGTTGCATCATCATGACAGACAAATAAGATGGACGTAAAGTAGMCTGCGCTGGTTTCAGAGCGCTTTGAGTGTGTCAAGCAACTGCACTGTTCTTTGTTCTTCTGGTCTCAGGTTTCTCCACCGCGTCCTACCTTAAGGTGCATATAAAGACACATCATGGCTCAGCGCTGCCCCCCTCTGCCTCAATGCACACCTTCCCTGAGCGAAGGGGGGAACTGCAGGTGCACAACGGCACCCCTTACCATATGGGACGCCAGTGCTCAGTGGAAGGCAAGCAGCCGTCTGGCCCGTCCCAAGCGTTCATGTTTCTGGCTGTCATTTGCTCTGCTGCTTTTTACGTTCCGCCACATCTCTGTATGTTGTAAAACAGGCATACATCAGTTTTCAGCTTCCAYGCTTGAGCTTAAAACATTTGTTGGGCACGTTTATGAGGGTATTGTTCAAAGTGAATTTTTAAGTGGACTCATAAGGATTTGCATGTATTCATTTTTAATGGGCTATATATGTTTTTAAAGACTTTAAAAAAACAGTTATATTTTCTGTAGGTAATGATTTGATAAGTGGAAAAACTGAATTTCATAATTTAAAATCCTTTGGTTGCTTTAAATAACTTTTTAGTTCTTTGTTAGCTCTAACACTGGTTGCTCGGTGCTGCGTCTGAGGACATTTTGGTTGTTTTTGACACATTTTCTGGTGTCCTTCGTTTGTGAGGATGTAAACTTTAGGGTGCCGTGTCACTCCTGCCTGTTTGTGTGCCCGTCCAGCATGGCTGTTCAGTAAAGTATCTGTTTCTGCTTGGCTGGTTCATCAGCAGTCGTTCAGCTGTTCACACTGATGCATGATCGCTCGAATGTGTGCTCCATTTGCCCCGGACTCATCGAAACCTTTATAGAGGTGCCAGTTTAACGGTTAATTTAATAGTCGATGCGTCGTTTTTTTTATTTTTTTGTATTTTTTCTTTTTTTCTAAATTAGTTTTTCTCTCCAAACTGTTGCGCCACCTTCCACTGCCACATCTACCTTTCTGTCCTTGACACACCCACTAAATTGAAAAAAATAATCAGTGATTAGTCGGCTATAAGAATGATCATTTGTGGCAGCCCTAGTTACCACTAMTGCAAAGGCGTGGCAGTGGAAGGTGCCGCAGCAGTTTGGAGAGAAAAACAAAGTAGAAAAAAAATGATGTATTGACTATTAAATTAACTGTTAAAACGATTTTAAGTCTTAGTCGACATAATCATGGCAGCCCTAGTGCCAGTATTGTGAGACCTACAGGAGCTTGTTCATGGTGAACTTAAAAGCGTAAGCTCCACTAATTTTATTTTATGTTTTTTAATAAAAGGAGGAAGTTTATCACCAGTGACGGGCAAAATGTGCTTCAGAATCAAATCTGTGAAAATAACTTTGTAGTTCATGCAACAAGATAGCATATTTTGTCTTTTGCCTTTTCCATTAAAATTTTAATAAATTTAATATGTGATAAAAATATTTTTTCCATAGAATATGCTTTTTTCCCTTCAAAGTCATAGTTGTCAAAATATGAGATTTTCACTGATTTTGATTAGAATGTTTTTGTATACYGTATCATCTTTGATCAAAATATCCACTAAATTTGCATAATTATTACAAAAAGTCTACAACAGGGCTATTCAACTGAATTTCTCTGGGGGCCACAGTTACTGCAGGTCAACAGCTGAACATCCAGCAGTTAGTCATTATGTAAATAAATCAAATATTTTGCTGCATTTAATCGTGAATACAACACACATAACCCTATGTAATAAAAGTAGTGATAATAAAACAACAAAAACAAAAAGAACAYATTCTGCCTCTTATTTATCACAAATATTTTGACATCTCTGAATTGCCAAAATTTTAAACCAATTTTATTTTCACTTTCATAGTTTTTATCTTCAACTGCTTGTAGTTTTAACTATCTGTTCATTTAAATGGTTTTTACCAGCTTGTAGCCGAGGTTCTGATGTTTCTGTAGATACCAAACATGTCTATGTCTAGCTAAAAGAACTTAGAGTTATTAAAGTAGACAACCGGGGGTTTGGGCTGAAGAGATGAATGAACCAATTGGCGGGCCGAACCTTGGTCATTCCGGCCCACGGGCCGCCAGTTGAATAGCCCTGGTCTACAACACAATTTTTAATAAATGAGTCATGTTGCCAATAATTACAAGTCCTTTGATTACAACCTGACATTGTCAGGTACACTCTGGACAGACTTAGCATGTGAAGGATATTGAGTCAATAAAATAATCCCTGAATGTAAGTACTCAGAGTAAAATGTGTCAAACAACAATAAAATCAGACGCCAGGTCGAAGGTGAAAAGGTAAAGTTCATCTGTCTTTGAAAAAGAAAAAATAAAAGGCAACTAAAAGCTGTGATGATGAGAGTCGACAGAAGTAGAGTGATTTGGGCGAGAGAATTGAGCGGTGGAGAGAGCTGAAGCAAAAAACTGGGCTACGATCAAACACAAATGACATCAGAGGCTTTCATGTAGCCATCTCTTGCTTCATTCTTTCAATTTGATGGTTTCTATTTTGTTTAAATCTGATGAAAACATCATATCTTAATTAAAGTAGTTACATTTTAGCTATATAACTCAGGGTTTTGAATTTCCTTTAAAGGGAAAAAAGAAGCAAAACTTGAATTAGTGCACTGTTTCACTGTGGAGTCATTCATGCACTCATCTAATGTCCTGTATTCACAGGAACATTCATGATGGTAGTAATGAGATGAAGGTAACTCTGTTTGGTTTCTGCCTGAAAGTATTTAACGTTTTTTTGCTGATTTTGCGGCTGCAGTTTTATACTTGTTTTTGCGGACACTAATGAACTAAAAGCTTATTGTTATATTATGTCAAAACTGTTTTTATTTTTATTCCTCATAATTTGTTGGTCTTTTTTCCTTTTCTTCCTTTCTCTTCCCCCKTCTTCTTCTCTTCTTTCATCTCAGATGGGCTGGAAAACGCTGGAAGTTGTCCTCATCTGGAGTCCGAGGAATCGGATACTACTTTAAGGGAATTGTCCAACGTCGACGAGCTCAAGTCTCCACACAAGTCCGACGCGCCAGAGCTAGAGATGCCCTCTTTAAGCTGTAACGGGGCTACTGCCGGGGTCCTGGGGTCTCCGGGAAGCTCTAAAACCCAGACAGACCCCGAGAAGAAGTTTATCTGTGGGATCTGTGGTCAGGCCTTTCGCACCAAGTCCTACCTCAACAAACACCAGCACAGAGTTCACAAAGTCCAGAGGGCCCACGGAGCGTCAGGGTCCAGTTTAAGCGAAATGGCGCCCTCCTTGACTTCTCCCTTCTCCCCCCAGCAGAACATGTCTCTCCTCGAGTCGTTTGGCTTTCAGATAGTCCAGTCTGCTTTCGCCTCTTCGCTCGTGGAGCCCGAGGCTGGCCAGAGTGGACTCGACTTCGGAGGGAAGTGACATTTTGTTTTCGAGGCTTCAGTTGAGTTTCGCCTCTAACTGTTAGGACAAAGCCAGGTTACCCACAGAAGATGCTCTGTGTTTGGGAATAAGTTTGCCTCAACTTTGAACTCATTTATTTTCTTGTTTGTCTTGTTGCCAAATGTGCATCCATTGACTTTTGGTCAAAAACAAAAAACAAAAAACAAAAAAAATACTGCCATTTAATTCCTATTTTTCCTACTTTTTCAGAGTAAACAAAGCAGTGTGTTCAGTGTTTTATTCTTTATAAATATGAAGTTTAGTTTGGTTAAACTGATGTCAATCTGTTGAATTTATCTCACTTTTCTCTTTTCCTGTCAAGTTTGAGCTCACACTGCTGCTTAGATGTTTTTCATGAAATAACCTGCTAACTACTTATAACTGCTCTGGTGAAGTTAGTAAACGTTTGTTTACTGTTAAGGTTATTCTTCGTATACACTGATGTCTTTACCTCAAAC